ATGTTTTAACACAATGATAAAATTGTCTAGTGTAATTGACATTTTGCCAAAAAGATGAAAGAATCGCGGAGTCAGCCCCGGACTATTAGTTCCTTATTATTATTATTTTAAAAAACTAATTAACATAGCATTCCGACGCAAAAGAAAGTACTCTCACGTAAAATGCAAATTAATAACTTTGAAATTGTAAAAGCGTGAGATGAAGTGGATAATTACTTTCACCACATGATACCATGTTGCATCACATGCATATAAAATAGTATATATCTATACATATATCTATATCTATATTATTATTAAATGTATAAAGAATTTTAGTGTTTCAATATTTTAATATTTATTTATTAATTATTTCAGTATTTATTTATTAATATAAAAAATATTTATTAATTAATATAAAAAGAGCTTTTATAAAAAAAAAGTATCTATAAAACTCTAACACGAATTACCTAATAAAATTTCAGTTATTTATTTTATTTTCTATAAAACTCTAACACATACTATATAACATATATATATATATATTAGGTCAGGCTTGTAGTGTGCATATTTTTTCTTTTCTCTTTATAATTGGTCTCGTAAATTTTTTCTTTACTTTTTCTTTTTATAAGCATTATTATTATGTTTTTATTTTTTTTTTTTCTCTTTGTAATTGATATTATGTTTAGAAGTAGTTGACTTGTTTCATTTTTATTTTCTCTTTCTAATTGATTTTTAGAAGTGGTTGATTTTTTTCTTCATTTTTTTATTTTATTATTTTTGGTTCATTCTTAATTTATTATTATTTTGATTTTTAAATGGGGTTGATTTGGTAAGTTTACTTTGAATTGTGATTTTTTTTTTTTTTTTCTTGTGGTTGATTGTTTTTTCTTCATTTCTTTATTTTATTATTTTTGGTTCATTAGTAATTTATTATTATTGTGAGTCATTATTGTTATTTTTTTTCTTTTTAAGAAGTATCATTCTTCTTTTTTCTTTAGTTTTTATTTTTATTTTACTCCTTATAAGTATACTTTGGATGGTTCAAAATTTGTTATTCTTAATTTGTTGTATTGAGAAGGTTGGATTGTTAATTTTTTTTTCTTTACTTTTTCTTTTTAGAAGCATTATTATTATTTTTTCTTTTGTTTTATTTTTATTTTTCTATTTCTAATTGATGTTTAGAAGTAATTGATTTGTTTTATTTTATTTTTCTATTTCTAATTGATGTTTAGAAGTGGTTGATTTGGTAAGTTTACTTTGGATTGTGATTTTTTTTCTTTTATTTTATTTTTTTTAATTTTTGGTTCATTCATAATTTATTATTATTTTGAGTCATTATTGTTATTTTTTTGTTTACTTTTTATTTTTCAGAAGTATCATTATTCTTTTTTCTTTAGTTTTATTTTTATTTTACTCTTTATAAGTTTAATTACTTTGGATTGTTATTTTTTTCTCAATTTTTATTTTTTTATTTTTGGTTCATTCTTAATATAGGTTTCAATGTTTTTTGGTTTTCGATTGGACTTGATTTTGAATTGAATTTGTTACCGAAAATTTTTATATTTTTTTTTTCCAATTTTTATTATTTTTTATTTTTGATTCATTCTTAATATATTATTTTGAGTTGGGTTTCAATGTTTTTTGATTTTCGGTTGGACTTGATTTTGAATTATCTATTTATTTATTAATTATGAATTTTTTTAATTAAAAAAATTAATTTGACAAGAATTATTAATAAAAAAAAATATTTATATACTGCGCATGTGGAATGGAGTAATTTCACACAGATACTCAGCATCTTCGGGGCAGTCGGCAGCAGTAGTGTACGAGTCTCCTAATACCTCAATCTTTTATTATTATTACTATTAATTTTTTTGGTTTGGTAAGTATCTCAATCACAATTTACACATTGTGTACAACGGGGAAAGATAAGGGAAGGTATTTAAAATTTTACATAATGATAACTATTTATTTATTATTATTTTTTTACTATTTCCTTGTAACAAATACTAAATTTGAGAATTCAAATTTTCAAATCAAATAAATTGGTAGATTCTTTTCCTTTTCTTAATGTCCAATTTTATTTTTCCAAAAGTCAAGGTCATGTTACCATTTCTACAATTGATCAATGCATTGGCAGTAGTTAAGAATACAATTTTTATAATTAAAATAAAATAATTTCAATAAAATTTACCACAAATTAACAATTTTATTTTCTATAAAACTCTATCCCATTATCTATTTATTATGAGTTTTATAATAAAAGAAAATCTAATTAGACAAGAATATATTTAAAGAAAATAAAATAATTTCTATAAAACCCTATCACAAATTACCTATTTTATTTTCAACAAAACTCTGTCACATAATTGACATTAGACAAAGATATATTTAAAAAGTTTCTATAAAACTCTAACACAAATAACCTATTTATTTATTTATTATTAGTTTTTTAATGAAAGTAAATCAAATTAAACAAAAATTATAAATATAAAAATATATTTATTAATTAATATAAAAAAAAAAAGATTTAAAAGAGTTTCTATAAAACTCTAACACAAATTACCTATTTATCAATTTATGAGTTCTTAATAAAAAGAAATCTAATTAGCCAAAAACTATTAATATAAAAAAATATTTATTAATTGATATAAAAAAAGTACTTAAAAGAGTTTCCATAAAACTCTAACACATATTATCTATTTATCTATTTATTATGAGTTTTGATAATAAAAGGAAATCTAATTGAAAAATAATATATTTAAAGAAAATAAAATAATTTCTATAAAATTTACAACAAATTAGCTACTTTATTTTCAATAAAACTCTATCACATTACCTATTTATTATAAGTTTATTCAGGGAAAAAAATTATTATGAGTTTATAATAAAATAAAATCTAATTATACATAAACATATTTAAATAAAATAAAATAATTTCTATAAAACTATACCACAAATTAGCTATTTTATAATCTATAAAACTAACACATATGACCTGTATTTACCTATTTATTATGAATATATTTAAAGAAAATTAAATAATTTATATAAAACTCTACCTCAAATTACCTATTTTATTTTCTTTAAAACTTTATCACATATAACCTGTATTTATATATTTATTATGAGTTTTTTAATAAAAAGAAATATAATAAGATAATGATATATTTAAAGAAAATAAAATAATTTTTTAAAAGAGTTTCAATAAAATTCTAACACAAATTACCTATTTATCTATTTATTATGAGTTTTTTAAAAAAAGAAAATCTAATTAGACAAGAATTATTAATATAAAAAATATTTATTAATTTATATTAAAAACAAAATAATTTCTCTAAAAAAATTCAAATATGTATTTCAGTATTTATTTATTAATATAAAAAAATATTTATTCACTGAAAAAATATTATCGGATAAAATTCATATTACCAAAAAATTTATTTCAAATTACCTAATAAAATTCAAATTACACAAATTACCTATTTATCTATTTATTATGAGTTTTTTAAAAGAGTTCCAATAAAACTCTAACTCAAATTACCTATTTATCTATTTATTATAAGTTTTTTAATAAAAGAAATCTAATTAAACCAGAATTACAAATATAAAAAATATTTATTAATTGATATAATAAATATTATAATTTCTCTAATACTCTAACACAAATTACCTTTTATTATGAGTTTTTTAATAAAAGGAAATCTAATTAGAGTAGGATATATTTAAAGAAATAAAATAATTTGTATAAAACTGTACCACAAATTACTATTTTATTTTCAATAAAACTCTATCACATTTTACAACGATATATTTAAAGAGTTTCAAAAAAACTCTAACACATTATCTATTTATCTATTTTTTTTCCTAAATATCTATTTATCTATTTATTATGTGTTTTTTATAATAGAAAATCTAATTAGACAAAAATTATTAATATAAAAAAATATTTATTAATTGATATAAAAAGAGATTTTAAAAGAGTTTCTATAAAACTCTAACGCAAGTTACCTATTTATAAATTTATTATGAGTTTTATAATAAAAGAAAGTCTAATTACACAAGAATTATTAATATAAAAATATTTATTAATTGAAATAAAAAATAAAATAATTTTTTTTAAACTCTACCACAAATTACCTTTTATTATAATTTTTTTAATAAAAGGAAATCTAATTAGAGAAGAATTATTAATATAAAAAAATATTTATTAATTGATATAAAAAGTGTTTTTAAAAAAGTTTCTATAAGACTCTTAACACATTTTACCAATTTATCTACTTAATATGAGTTTTTTTTTTCATAAAAGGAAATCTAATTAGACAAAAATATATTTAAAGAAAATAAAATAATTTCTATAAAATTTACCGTAAATTATTTTCAGTAAAACTCTATGACATTATCTATTTATTATGAGGATTTTAATAAAATAAAATCTAATTAAACAATAATTTATTTAAAAAAAATAATATAATTTCTATAAAACTCTGCTACAAATTAGCTATTTTATTTTTTATAAAACTCTGTCACATATTACCTATATTTTCATATTTATTATATCTGAATATATTTAAAGAAAATTAAATAATTTCTTTAAAAGTTCACCTCAAATTATATATTTTATTTTTTTTAAAACTCTATCACATGTAACACAATATAGGCGATATTTACATCTCATCTTTGATTTGCAACTCGAGTTCCGGCCGAAAAGTGCGTGAGCCTTACTTAACCGGGCGAACATTGGGCAAGACATTAAGAAGGTGGGAGACCAGCGACAGGTGGAGCCCCGGCATCTCGCTGTATGTCCATGTGAATACATCGCAAAATTCCTGCAAAAGGGAAATAAGATGAGAATGATCGTGAGAGCTGAGTGAACCCGAGAGAAACGTAATGCGAGGCCACTCATTGGGGTGGGCCAGGTTAACTTCAACAAGATCTGGCAATGGTGCCTTGTCAAGGATCCGAGGCTGATAATCTGGGGGGTCAGTAGAGTGAACCTCAGCTGACCCCGGGCACCGTCATAAACGGTAGATGACACGGCCATTGGGGAAACGAACATGCTTGCATTCACGTGGAGCATTGCTGGTCTGAACTAGAGATGGCGGATGAAAAATGCCCTTCTGGGCGTCTGCCCAAGTAGGTAAAGGGGTGCTGATAATAGTCGCATCGCAATCTTGCATGCAGTCATCAAGGTCATTGAAGAACAAAGCGTCAGTATAATGCGCCTCAAAGGTAGCAAAGAGACAATCCGAACACGGGACAGTGACGACCTTGTTGTTCCAAATGCCTTTGAAACACTGATGGTAAGTAGACGGAACAATGCCAAAGCGGTGCATCCATGCGCGCCCAAGCAGGATGTGATAGGATGTATTGCTATCAATGACATAGAACTTTGTGGAGGCCTGAAATTTATTAACAGCTAGATCGACATTAACGTAGCCCATCATGCGACGAAGATCATTACCAAACCCAGCAACTTCAATTGGCTCCTTGACCAGGCGATCTTTGAGGATGCCTGCTTTGCGAAAAGTGGAGAGGGGCATGACATTGATGGAGGAACCATTATCAAGAAAAGCATGTTTGAACTCTACCCCTTTGATGGAAGCCAACACGTACAGTGGTTGATTTTGAGCACCTTGACTCTGTTTGCCAGCATTAGAGAAAGATAAGGTTGTCTTTGGTGAAGAGTAAGGTTTAGCGGAGGCAACCAAAGGACACACATCCCATTCTGAAAGGTCAACATTTTGGCCTGAATGCGTCTCTGCAAGCTCATTATAATAGGTGATAACAACCACCCGATGATCAGGGTATTGGAAACGGCGAACATCTTTGGCGGGAGTGACTTCGAGATCACCAGATGCCACTCGCCGTTGGAAGAGACGGCGCAAACCCCAGCAATTAACAGTAAGGTAGGTGATACTCTGGTGGTAAACGCAGAAATCAGCATGAACTCTATCTGCTAGCGTGGGCTCGCGACGTGGAGTAGGTAAGACAACGACGCCGTCCTTGACCCATTGGGCAAGAATATTCTTGACCTCTTCGATATGAATGGTGAAAGTTGGTGGCTCTTCACCTTGGGGCTTGAATTAGGACTTGTCGAACCGCTTTCATGGACGCTCTTCGATGGTTGCTACAGGCGTAGGCCTGCGGTTGGAAGACTTTGGAGCCTCAAACTTGGGAGCATCATACTTCGGAGGTTCATACTTGGCAGCGACTGGCTTAAGATCTTTAAGGTTTCGAGCTATGATCTTGAGTTCACCAAAGCTAGCAATTCTTAGGTTGACAAGATGGAGCTTGTAGATCTGCAACATGCCTTGGATGCATATATCAACCAAGTCCATCTCATTGCTACTTTTGAAGCACTCTCCTACACGATCGTTGAATCGATTGATAAAGGCAAGGACATCCTCATTGTCTTCCTGAGTCTCCTTTGTGAGAGACAAGGTGGTAACTCGTTTTTCAGCCTGGAAGAATTTGGTAAGGAAACGATCTTTTAGCTGCTCCCAGGTATTGATGGAGTCTGGCTCAAGATTGCAATACCAATGATATGCTCGATCAGTCAAAGACTTGGAAAATTCTCGTAGGCGAACCACATGATTATCACCAAAATAACCCAAAGCCTCCACAAAACGCATGACATGCTCCCTAGGATAACCAGTTTGTCGTTAAACTATGGGAACTTGGGAACCAAATACCCTTATGGATATGGGGTTTGTGCGATAACAAGAGGGTAAGGAGGCTCACTGCCAAAATCCAAAGCGCGAGATGTTGGTGTGCCCTTCTTAAAGAGATCACGCACCTCAGAGCGTGTGAACACTTCTTTTAGGGCGGAGTATGTGATACCCCTCGATTCTAGAACCACGGGTGATCAAGTCCGGGTACAGATCGAAGAGATACCAGACAATCAATATGTAAACAAGCAAGAATAAAATTGAATTAAGAACAAAACAGCTGAAAAGAATTCTAAATACAAAAATCCTTTTGAATAAAAATTTTAATATAATTTAAAACCTTCAAATCCTTACAACTCGGGAATCCACCAAGTGGACCCCTAATAATTCTTAACTGCAAATGAAATACAGAAATAAAGTCCGAACTAAAATAAGAAAGAAAATCCTATGTAGTCGGAAGGGTGAGTGACTGTATCTGCATCACCACGATCAAGCCCTAAGCCTAGTACTCACGAACACCTGAAAAATAAAGGTGGGTCAGGCCCACATGCAAGTTCCATCCTACTACAATCCATACATAAACCCGATACGCAGATACATCCTAGATAACTTGGCAATATCTAAAATAGTCCATATATAGCTATACACACTATAGGATGCTCACTAGCCTATAACCTAGTTCAACCTGGGTAGAAGGTGACATATAAAACACGCTTTCCAGCAGCCAAGTACCTAGACCTACCAGGGAACATCAGCTATATCTAGCTATCCATCCAATGCAATATACGCACCCTAACCGTGATCAGAAGACTCAAGCTCGTATCACGGCACCATAAGTATATATTTAAATCCTTCCTAATACAGAAAAATAAAACAACCATCCGTTATGTCGTTCAACTGTTTTAGTTGACAGGACATGCATCCATGTAGGAGTTAACTGTTTTAGTTAATCCATTCCGTATGTATGAATGGGTTGTGTAGCCCAAAAATTGACTCTAGAGGGGGGGTGAATAGAGTCAATGCCAAACAATGGATAATTTTCGCAATATATAGAAATACAATTTCTATTCAACAATTTAAGTAATTATGCAATAATCAAGATATGAGATCAAGATATGGAATAAGCATTTAAAGCATAATTATAAGAGAGATAAGGGAAGAGAAATTGCAAACTACAACACGGCGATTTTTGCGAGGTTCGGAAACTCCTACTCCTCGGCTCAAGATCCCTCTTGAGACTTCCCAATCCAATATAGCTTCTCCTTGCGGGTGGAGAGCAAACCTTTACATGAAGCAAGACCTTGCTTCTTTTCCTTGCTAGGAGAACACCCTTCTCCTAGGCACTTTTTGGGTCACACTAACCCTTACAAGTTTGTAGAAAAGATTGTAATTGAAATACAAGATTGAATCTCTCTCAAGATAGATGTACAAGTGCAAGCTCACAAGAAATATCTCTCATAGATTGATGTACAAACTTTAGCTCTCAACTAGAGTATATATGAATATAAGTGAAGCTCAAACTCTATAAATGATATGAATGAGGGAAGATGATATAAGTGAACAATGTAAGCTTTTATAATCTCTCAAGTGAATAATAGAGCAAAAACTCTATGAAGATTAAAGCAAGAGCAAAAGCCCTTTTAATCTTTACTAGAATCTCTCAAGATAGAATAAGAGTGAATGAGAGAGATGAGAAGATGAGAGAACAAAAGCTCTTTTGAAATGTAATATTATGTCTCTCAAAATGGTGGTCTTTTTGCTTCAGCAAAATGAGCCTTCCTTATATAGACAGCCGTAGCTTAATATGTCTGTTAGAAGTAGTTGGAAGACTTAAATGCAGAAAAGTGCCGTTGTAGATTCAAATATCTTAGAAGAGCCGGCTCTACAAAAAATTGGAGGAGGCTCCAATAAATGGGAGGCGGCTCCAATAACTGGGAGGCGGCTCCAATTCACAAAATGCATTCTACGACACACAATTTGGCTACTGGAGTGCAAAGAGGCGGCTCCTATAATTGGGAGGCGGCTCCAATAAAAATGAGAGGCGGCTCCTATAATTGGGAGGCGGCTCCAATAAAAATGAGAGGCGGCTCCAATAAAAATGGGAGGCGGCTCCAATTGATAAAATGTGCTTGCTTTAGTTTTCATGGAGGCAACACCTTGTTTTGGATTTTGACAGAAAATGGCATGACTTCAAATGGACATAACTCAGTCCATGAAACTCCAAATGAGGTGAAATTTAAGTCTAAATTTATTGCCTTGAAGTCAGCTTTCTAAATCCACTAGCCTTGCTCAAAAATTCCAAACACAGAAGAAGTTATGGCTATTTAAGTGCAACCTGGTCAGAATTTTCGCAGAGCAGAATCATGTATTTTGTGAAGCTCATATCTCAGTCATTTTTAATCCAATTTCGGTGAAATTTGAGTCTAAACTCAAGGGCTCGAAGTCAGCTTTCCAATGCCACTGGCCTTGTGTAAAAATTCCAACTACACAAATAGTTATAGCAGTTTTAGTGCAAGCTGGTCTGAAATTTTCTAGGCTGAAAATAGCTTCTTTTGAGATATCTATCTTTCTATCACCTAGGACTTTGATGAACGATTCAATTTTGTTCAAGACCTATTTCTAAGAGTCTAGGGACATATGGAGATGATAAATTTCAAGTGCATTGTGTCCTAGAGTCATTTACCAAATTATGGCAACAAAGGCTTTAAAGATGAAATATTAAGTTCAATGCCTTTTCCTTTTCTTTCTAGACACCAAAGTAAATCTTATGATTAATGTGCATGGTCCTAGCATTTCTAGCTTAAGTTGTGAGTTCTTTCAAAGCTTATACAAGCTTGAACTAACCCTTTCTTAGCAAAGACTTCATATGACAATATCTATCAATGAAGTGCAAAGTCTAGTACTAAGGATATAGGAATATGTGAATGATGATAATATGCATGATCCTATAGAGATGAGCTTCAAATGGATTCATAAATACTTTGACATTGAATCCAAAACACTCACCATCCTATCTACCCCTTTTCTTCATGCATTGTCCATGATCGTTTAGGCTTGAGGTAGTATTGCTTTCTTTTTTCCTTTGAGTTGCTTTCTTGCTCATTGAAGTTCAAGCTATCTTTGGACATTGCATTTTGTTCCTTGCAACTTCATGTCTTCATTGTATCCATTTCTTTCCTTGATGTGATCTTGAATAATGGAATACTTTGAATGATCTTTGGTGCTTCATTGAGGTCATTCTTTGAATGTGAATAATCTATATAACACTCAATGTAAACATTAGTCCTTAAACACCATTAATGGTTTGTTATCATCAAAACACCTAGATTGTCATTGGATGAAATCCTTAAGGTCAACAATCTCCCCTTTTTTGATGATGACAAAACATTGATGTGTTCATAAGCAAATGGAGTAGCATTTGAAAAATGCTCCCCCTATCAAAGTGCATTCATTGAACATGGCATGCTTGATATATCACTATAAAATGGCATGCTTGATATATCATTATAAAATGGAATGCTTGATATATCATTATAAAATGGCATGCTTGATATATCATAAATCATTTTAGATCATTTAACACATCACATTTCTCTCCCCCTTTGGCATCTCAAAAAGGTGGGAGGTCAAAACATCTTCTTTTAGTATTGATCATTTAGCATAGAGAATTGACATGGTGATGTAATGATAATCAAGAATTGGTAGTAGTAGTTGTTACTATAATATGTTTTAGGATGAAACATATAAACAATTATATCATAAGAGGCCAATTTCATTGACAACATGAGTTCGAATCATCATTTAAGGTTCATGTCATATACAAAAGTATACATAATCAAACATAAAACAAAAATGAAGCATAAACTAGAATAAGCCTAAAGGCAAACAACCTTTTAGAGGCAAATTTTAGAACTCAAGACTACTTCTACCGTAATATATTTCTTCACATTTGATATCCTCAAGAAAAAGGGAAATATCATCAAAGTCATGAAAGTTCATAGGAATGAATCTAATGACCAAAAAGTCATTTTGTAGCATGCTTGTCAATTTCAAGATAAGTCAATGAAGCTTAGTAAAACATGCAATATTCATTCACAAGAGATTACTAATAATCTCCCCCTATCAATATGCTTCCATTTACATCATATATTATTCAAAGATTATGCAACTAATTGAATAATGAAGCAATGTATTTCAAAATAAGTGCACAATAGCCTTTTCTTCTTCAAAACCCTCAACTTCACCTCTCAAGGGTAAGTTTGTAATTTAGCCTCTAGGACCACCCAAACACTGTTCCCCCAGTCTTCAATATGCCAAATACACTTGCTTATAAATTCAGAACAAATTATATAGCAAGGTATGATATATATTAAGCTCACAGCAGCACTATTAGAACCAAAAACCACAAATCTTAGTTTTATCAAGCACTGCCTTTGAAGACACAAACACTTCAACAACCAAGGACTCCCTCAGCTTGAAAATAATGAATTAAAATTTTTCTATAGCTAAGACAAATTATATCAACAAGGGCTTAACACTGCAGCTAATAAAATAACAAAATAATAACTCACAGCAGGAGCAATTTGCTACACCTGTAACTTTATGGTTTGTGGGGTAAAATAGTCAACTTCTCTTTTGTCAAAGGTTCCCTCAGCTTGACATAGATGAAATACACTTATACTGAAGCTTGGACATAATTTAGGATTAATGAATCAACAATTTATAGCACAAAAAGGGCAGCAAACAACAGCTTGCAGCAAGTAAATTTGCTGCACCTGTTTCCTTTAGGTTTTAGAGGGAAAATCTATAATTTCGTGGCTGGTTCTTCTTGAATTTAGCTCCCACAGCTGAATTTCATCATATAACACTTGCTCACATCATTGCCTCTCAGATTATAGCAAGGTTTCATCACTATAAAGCCCAAAATCAGCATATATACCAGATTTTTGCTGCAGCACTGTTAT